AACAAGTACAGTGTGTACATTCTAGTATTATATAACTAATATTAATAGACTGACTGTACTATAAACAGTAGATATCATACTGGGAACTATCTCTATCAATATTGTTTGATCATACAACCATGTTGGCAATATAGATGATTATGAAAAAAATTATGTAATCTATTATCATATTTCTCATTCCTTTGGTGAGCAATTGCCTAGTAGCAACTGGCAACTGTCCAACCCTCCTCACTGAAAAGCCATGGGGGTTTTGATTGGACATTGTCGCAGATTTATGTAATCTTTTTGCTATGTAATTTAATGAGTACAGTATGTAACATGTACTATTGCTATATACAGATTATTGCTGCATCAACTAGAAGATATAATCTTAAGGAAGATTGACAATGTGATGCATTTTGGCAACAGGCTTGTTTCATTGTCCATCTCCAATAACGGACAGGAAATCTTAAAAATGTTTAGATTGTTGGATAAGAAGCCTAAGTTGTTTGCCTACAAAATAAAAGAAAGACACTAATACATACCTCATCCGTAATCTGACCACCAAACGTTACCCATGTTCCTACAATTAATACATCTATTCAAAAATAGTATACATATTGCTTTTTTGAAAAAAATTACCTCATTATAGGTCTATATTGAAGATATTTTCTAAATTATTTGTGTATACTGGAGATACTAATAGCATCAAGTTACTATCACCAACAGAAAATCTTGAAATGATGTGAGGTGTTGCCATCAAGAAAATCTCTATTGCAGCTTTGTTTAGTTAAATCTGTATTCTCAACAAAATTCATTGCCCTTGAATGATTTCACAATAAAAAAAACAAGTTTAAATTGTATACTTACCAAATCCTAAATTAGATACTCTCAATCCTGACTTTCCTAGATTTCTGCAAAAAAAAAAATATTATATATATATGGTGATTATTGCAAAATTCCATGCCACAATCTGAGCTTAGGAAAAAATAGATCTGAGGAGTCATAATTCAAATATACATCAAAGAGCAATTTCAATTTTCCAGTCACCCCAGAAAGAAATAGAAAATGGTAAAGTTTCCACACCTGGAATCATTTATAGCCATGTCAAAGACAGCATATATTTTGTGTTGGGTGCTTAATAAAACTTGTATATATTGTATTTCTAAAGTTATTTATTGCAATTTGTGTCAAAATACTCGAAAGTTTCTTGTGTACTAAATGAGAATGTAAAGAATTCAAAATATGTCAAATAAGTATACCTGACAGAAAAAACCTTTCATGTTGTACTTTTACTATTTGCATTTTTCAACGATATCGGGTTTTTACTGCATTATATATGTCAGATTCAAGCAGATTTTCACGTCCACCCAAAGAAGATAACTTCATTTTATACAGTGTATAATCACAAATATGATGTGAAAAACCTCTTAAATTTCTCATGTTATACCATGTTAATATCTTCTGCCAAGTTTCAAGACAAGAATATCAATGAATGTTACAAACACAAACGTAAATCATTTTCTCTGTTATGTAATATAATTTACTATCTGACAGAGATTTCAAGAGAGATCAAGAGTTACACGAAAACTAGGTTTTATTCTCAATTTCCATTTTAATTTCATTGTTATATTTCATGACTAATCCAACTTTGCAAGTAGATGATAGTTTGAGATCTGTTGATATGCAATAGGTCTTAATGAAGTTTTGTCAAAATATGATGGATCATAAGCTTGTATAGTTTCCCCCAAAAAATGTACAAGAGCATATCAATGTCAATGACTTTCTAACTTTTGACTGAAAACAAGAACTGTACCAAGTTTCAGACATTTTGTAGCCTGCTGTCATATTCATTAGGAAATGTAAGCAATAACAAACTAAGTCTACATAATCTGCTCTCGAAACTTCATTGATATGTTTCTGAATAAATCCAACTTTCGAAATTGAAAATAGATGATATTACTGTTTCTGACTACACAGAGGAATGAGGGAAAATTATTAAAATCTATTCTCATTTTCTTACATTTGGTACAATAAATAATTGAACATGACAGTCATATATCATATATATATATTACAACTGTTAAGACTGTTCGAAACAATTACAGACAGAGAGGTAACATATACCATAGGCCTGTGAATAATCAGTAAAGTTTAATCAAAATATTAATCAATCATAAGCTTGTAATGAGCAACAAGAATTTAAATATATAGGCTAACTTTACCAATGACTTTTGAAATTTTGACTTAAAAGAAACCTGCAGGCTCATTCATTAGTAATTATAGAGCACTATTATAATGTGTTTTCTTCTTAACACTAAGACCACTAAGATGCTTGTAACAAATTCCATGATCAGCACAAGAAGTTGGGGAATCCATTTCATTTAGAAATGTGTGTAAAATAAGGGAACTAATACAACAAGTAGCCAATAGTGCGAATATTCTAAAGTACAATGAAAACACTTCAGGTATTCAGATAAGAATCAGTATTTTAACTCAGTATTACAGGTGGTAATTTATAGACAAGATAAAGTTCTTAGACCCAAGATAACATACAATACTATATAATATGAGTTGATGTTATCATACTAATTTATATCATGATGGTTGGCAGTCAATCTATCACATATATATATAACATTTTTTATACATGTCATACCTACTTTACATTTAGCATGGAAGAGGAGGCTTACTTGGCACAGAGAGAACAGTGGCGGAGTTGCGGAGCCAGGTTTACGTCCGAGGGGGGTGAAATATTAGAGATTGCCCGAATTTCTAACCTAGTTTTGGGGCTGCGAGCGGGGGCTGCCCCCTTTGACTCAGCCACTGAGGGAGAAAAGGGGTCCTCTGACAGAAGATTGTCTCAAATACCTGCTTGTTGTAATAAATTTAACTCATCCATTCTGAAGCAAATCAGTCATAATACACTAGGCAAGCATAGGTACGACCTTTCAGATTGAGTTGGGGGATGTGCTAGCTATTTTCAGCTAGATTTGTCTGATCAGAATACTTTTCTCATAATCTAGATGGCTCAGTATGTTGTTTATGCATTTGGATAGGCAAATATGCACCTTTGCAGAGACAGCACGTAGCTTATTATGCTATATACAAATTTAGATTTGTCAATTCAGCATCTCTTTCAAATAGCTAATGATGTTATCTAAGTATTGCAGTCTGTTGACTTGGTATTCCAAGATCTGAGATTTCAGATTGCTAAAAGCGATATTTTGGAATTTCGACATCTGTTTCAGACAATCAAAAAAGCTAACAAGCTATATATGTATTCTTTTTTCTACTTTTATTTCAAGCCGTCAATCAGCAATTTCATTAGCAATATCTGTGTATTGAGACTAGACGAGCTTATCTACGATTTGTCAGTTATTATTTATCTCCCTTGGGTAGGTTTATGATGCGTGTAATAACACTGATGTCTAATAACTCTGATGGTTATTGCTTTTTATTCCAGACTAATACATCAACATTGATCTTTTACACGTATTATCCAGCCACATCTTCTATTGTCATATAAAAAGACCAACCAATAATTCTATTTCATTGCAGGTCATGTTATTGCTGGAACCATAACCTTTTGTAAATCCTTAAGAGACATTCAAGAGAGAGATCACATCACTAATCTGAAAATATGCTTGTATCACATAAGGCCTGTGACATCATCAAACACTTAGTTCTAGTCGAACTGCAGGAACCATAGACATCTGATTGAAAATTGGAATTGTAGAAAATTTATGCTATCAGTGTCCCCAATACACAATATGAAAATTTAGCAAACCTCTTTACATCCCCTTAAATAACGGAACACAATTTTATGGTATACTACGTAAGATTTTTATTGTCATAATCAGGTGAAACTCAGGAGTAGTATACCATAAAATCGTGTCCATTATTTATTAACCTTGTTTGATTTTAGTGCATATCCTTTGGAGGTCATCATGAAGAAAGAGGAGATGAAAGTTTGGTTTTAAGGGAGTATAGTTTTGTGAAATGTTTTCACTACAGGCTGTGCACATTCAAGATACCTTTACAGTTGGAAATCAAAAAAGAGTAAACAAAATTTCCCTCATTGCACACTGCATTGACACTGAGGCCATGAGGTGCAGAAAAGTAGGATGTAAAACTTCATTTCATTTTCCTATCCGAGTAATATGGTTAACATATATGATCATTACTTATATGATTTTTTAAGAATACTTTTGAGACATTACAGTAACTACACATTAAAAAATTAACATTAAAGTAACTGGAAGGACTAACAATTCTGTATGAAATACTGTAAACTACCAGCAAACAATACAACACTTTCTAGAACAAATCCATGTTTTCAAAGTACAGTGCACCAATGTCTAGAACAAGCAGCAGTGATGTCAAAGGAACAGTGGACCACTGTCTTGAACAGCCAGCAGTGATGTCAAAGATACAGTGAACCACTGTCTAGAACAAGCAGCAGTGATGTCAAAGGAACAGTGAACCACTATCTTGAACGGCCAGCAGTGATGTCAAAGATACAGTGAACCACTATCTAGAACAAGCAGCAGTGATGTCAAAGATACAGTAAACCACTATCTAGAACAAGCAGCAGTGATGTCAAAAGTACAGTGAACCACTATCTTGAACAGCTAGCAGTGAAGTCAAAGGAACAGTGAACCACTGTCTTGAACAGCCAGCAGTGAAGTCAAAGGAACAGTGAACCACTGTCTAGAACAACCAGCAGTGATGTCAATGGAACAGTGAACCATTGTCTTGAACAACCAGCAGTGATGTCAAAGGAACAGTGAACCACTATCTTGAACAACCAGCAGTGCAAACAACAAAACAGCCTCTGGAATATAACTCTGAGACGAGTGATGTTTGCATAAAAATCAAAATAATAAAGAAACATGCAATATCTTCTTTATTTAAGATATACTTGATAACCGCCTCAAAATTTACTTTTCACTGAATTACATCTTGAGAAATTGAAACAGGTGGAAATTTCAAAGTAAATAAAGTTAAATATATAACATACTTAATTCACCTTCACAGATAAAGAGTTCTCACATGTTTTCATTACAAACACCCAATTAAACTAATTAAAGGTAATCAAAATGATGCTCTTTTTTTATTATTTCAAAATGATTTGTTTCCTATTTCAATTGAGTAAATCATTGTACAAAAAATGGAGGAATACAAGAACTTACATTTAATTACTTATGCTTGATAAAGATTGTATGTGAATTAGAACGTCGTACTATATCCATAATAACGTACATGCTTACTCTTTTCGAAACACCTGATGGTCCTTCTTTTATGGAGGAGTCCACTACTACAATATTTTTACTCTCGATTTTGCCATGCTTTGGACGAGGTTTATTATTAACGGAATTGTCTGGCTTGTACGGATTTTTATTCTAAAGAATTAAAATATTTAAAATGAGAGTTGATAGGGTCCTAAATAACTGAGTACTGACCATGCCAATGAAGTTTGTATCACC